GCCTGCTTCTCCCTCTGCCTGTGTCTCTGCCCCTCTGTGTGTGTCTCTCATGAATATATAAATAAAATCTTAAAAAAAAAAAAAAAAAAAGAAAAGAAGCCTGAGATCCAACAACTAAGTTGGAACCATAATATATACTGGGGCCAGAGGTCAAGAGCCTGAACTGCAGGTTGTAGGTGGAGCTCAAGGTACTGAGGTGAGTATTAAGTACCAGTTGTACATGGAGGTACAGGTTAGCCAGCTCAGACTCAGAGATGGGCTGGTCAGACACCTAACATAAACTACCAAGCAAAAATTTTTAAGAACTGTTTTAAAGAAAAGGGATAATGTTTTATGCAATGAAACAAATCAGACTGTGAGTCTATATCTCTGCCTACTTTCAGTTGTGGAAGGGGCTTCACTGAGCTATGCTTTTACTTTATACCTTCTATATTCATGTAAGGTCATTATAAGGAACAAATGAAAACTGTATCAGCATTTGCTGTTAATCTGTTGGGAACATTCTCCACTATTTCAGTCAAATAAGTGTCCATATGAGAAACTTCTCATTTAACCCCAGGAAAATTTTTCTCCCCCAAGGAATCAGTTACCAAAATAGAATTTTTGCTTTGACTACCAGGAAGCTCAGCCACACATGATTCTCAGTAACAGCAGTTATGCTAACCTACACTCGCCATATTCTATTCCTCCTTATAGTAGCATATTCCAATTCTACAGTGCAGTATTTTTGCCCTTTGTTTTAAATACTCAACCTTTTCAAAGGACTGGAAAGGAATACATCTGAGGTGGGCACAGCGATGTGCCACTCAGATTCTCCTTCAAGGAAGCACTTGTTGCCCCAACTGCTAGGAGACCTGCCAGTCCTCAAAGAGCACCTCAGCTGCAGAGAGCCATGTGACTGAGGCTGTGTGTGCTCTTCCCAGGGCAGAGTGAAGTGGAACCACAAAGGGCCAGCCATTTCAAGCCAGCACCAGTCAACAGAGCTCTCTGGAGGATGGCTGAGGCTATCACCAGGCCTCCATCACAGCTAAACTTCTCCCTGTGCCCCTTCCTATTTCCTTCTCTCTCTTCCACAGTGTTGATCCCAAAGGCACTCCCTAACAAACATTCTGCACACTAACCTCTGCCACAGAGTCTGCTTCCAAAAGAACCCAATCTGTAACAACATTTAACCAAATACAGATGGGTCCTCGATTTAGGATAGTTTGACTCATGATTTTTCAGCTTACAATGGTGCAAAAATGATATGCATTCTGTAGAAACTGTACTTTGGATTTTGATCTTTTCTCGGCTAGCCATATGCAGTGCGATCGATCCTCTCTTGCGATGCTGGGCATCGGCCATGACTTGCAGTCAACCATGTAATCAAGAAAGTAAATAACCCATGCACTTATAACCACTCTGCACCCATACAACCATTCTGCTTTTCGCTTTCACTACAGTATTCAGTAAATCACATGAGACATTCAACACTTTATTATGGAATAGGCTTTGTGTTAGATGATTTTGCCCACTGTAGGCAAATGTTAGTGTTTTGAGTACATTTAAGGTCAGGCTAGGCTAAGCTATGATGTTCAGTAGGTTACGCACAGCAAATGCATTTTCAACTTACTGTATTTTCAACTTAGGATGGGTTTACTGAGATGCAACCCCATCATAAGGCAAAAAAGATCTATAACTAAAAATAGAAAACACATCAGGTAGGTAGGGGTATTATGGAAAGGAGTGAAAATACACAACAAAATATTTCATACCTACATGAGAGGCCAACATAGCATTGACTCTGGAGCCAGGCTGCGTGGGTTTGAATCCCATCTCTGCCATCTCTCAGCTCTGTGTCCATAAATAAGCACCTCTCAATCTCTCTGTACGTCAGTTTTTTTATCTGTAGATTGGAAATAGTAAAAGTACTTATCTCATAATGCTGTAATAAGTAACCGAGCCAATGTGGGTAAAACAGTTATATAGGATAACTATATAGCCAAGTGCTGTTCTAAGTGTTTGGTAAATAAAGACCTATGAGGTCAGGCACACACACAGGGCCAAACGGGCATCTGAGCTGAGACCCTTACCCAAAATCCAGGCACACCTAGGTATGGAGTAGGCCGGGGCATGTTGAAGCAAGAGTGATGACAGAAATAGGCCCAAGCAGGGCTAGCCTGGGTGATGTCAGGGCGTGTGCCTTGTGTGGGTTCTGGGCTGCTCCCTCCAAGCCAGCGCAGCTGCACTCATTGCCAGTAACACCCACGTACCCATATATATGCTGAGCTGGGGGAAGCCCAAACCAGCCACACCCTCTGCATGCCCTGCTTTTCCTGAATCTCTTTTGGTGGAGGGAGGCACCTGAGGTCTGAGATGCTAGCTCAGAAGTCCCAGGAGGAAATGGGGCCTTGTTTTCTGATTAAGGGCCTGGCAGCAGACTGAAAACATGAGCTCCTGTTGACAGAAATTTCTGGAGCCCCTGGGGGCCTGGCCCTGGAGGCAAAAGCAAAAGCAAGGAAGCATGGTCCGCATGCTAGGAAGCTCTCAGAAGATGGAGAAACAGAGTTTCAAAAAGTTTATCACAGCCTGCAGGCTGCCCAAGTCAGCACAAGAAGCTCCAGCACTGCAGCACTTAGGAGGGGGCATCCCGGACAAATGGACAAGATCAAATGAGCAGGGGGAGGCCCCACTCATTTCCCACCTACCCTCCTGGCTTCATCACCTGCCCTGCTTCCCCTTGCTCAGTAAACTCGAGCCTTTTTCTTATTCTTACACTCATTAAGCTCTTTCTGTCCTCAGGGCCTTTGTACATGTTGTTACCTCTGCCTGGAAAGTACTTTCCTCCAACCCACCTCTAATAATTCACCTGGCCATCTATTCACATCCAGTAGTAGACCTCTACTGAGTCCTAGAGCCCTTCCTTTTCAACTAAGAGATCTAAAATAGGTGTCCCTCATGTTTTATCTCATAGGCCTCTGAGCTTTTCCTCCTTACCTACCATCACAACTGTCCATACTGTTTACTGGCTTAATGTCTGAATGCCTGGAGGGTTGGTTGGTTCTGGATTTTTTTTTTTCTTCTCCCAAACCATGGTGTTAAAGCCCAGCACGGGGCAGCTCAGGAGCACCACCACCTTAAGCCCAAGGCAGTCCAAGCCCTACTCTAAGAGCACGAACACTGTGTGAAGCTCCCAGTCATGCTAGCCTCCGTGCCCACTGACTGCTGGCTGCCAGGATCTACTTAAGGCTCTCTTGTGAAGCAAAAACAAAACAAAACAAAAAAAAAAACGTGTGGAGTCAAGACAGACCTGGTTTCAAATTCCCACTTGTTACTCATGTGGCCTTGGGGCAAGATGCAGAACTTACCTGGATCTCAGGCTCTTCATCAGTGTATCTGGGACAATAACGCCTGATTAGAGGGTAATTATGAGGATCAGGTGTGATCACACTTGTAGGCCCTGTAGCGCTCGGCCAGGCATTGGGTCAACTTTAGTGCCCTCCCTCCCACTTTAAAGGGTGGGCACTAGATGGCAGTCCATCTCAGCCACTCCACCTCCCCTCAGGTGGGTGAAACCTACAAATTTTCCGTTTTGTGAGGGGTTTCGCAGGTTCTTAGGAGACACCCTTGAGGGCACCAAAACACAAACCCGCACAGGTTACCGCTGCCGCAAGACCAAGTCAGAGGCAGCCCCAGACACCAGTCACCACCCAGCTGGGTAGGTTGGCTGAGCACACACTCACCTACTCACGAATTCCAGGAGCCCGGCTCCTTCCCTGGCATCTGCTGGGCGCTCTGCTGGGCCTCCAGCCTCCGAAGTTGTCCTGCTCCGCCTGATTCAACATCGGTCAGACCACAGGTGTCTTCAGTTGGTCTGTGACAGGGGCCGCTACATCACAGGGGCAGGCCGAGGGAATGGCTTCGGGAAGGCAGAGTGTGAATCATTCGAATAACCACTAAAAGGCCTTGCGGCTGGTGCATGGAGAGTGAAGGGGAGGTGCTGGGAGCCGGCGTGGCAGAGAGAAAAAGGGGGCCAGACCACACGGGGCCGGCTGGGACAAGAGGGAGCATGGGTTGGTTGGGCAAAGGGAAGTCGTGGAGGGTTTGGGGCCGGAGGTGGCCGATCGGGACTTAATTTATTTTTAAGATAATTAAAGCATGGATGATAGATGCAGGTAAGACCAGGGAGAGAAGAGAGTCTGGATGAGAGAAGATGGAAGTCAGGCGTGGCGGGTGGAGAGGCGAGGGCCACCGGGAGCGCAGACAGGCCTGCGAGATGGCTGGGAGGCCGAGCCGAGGCCGAGGCCGACGGAGGCGTCGAGGGTCCCTCCAAGGGTTTTGGCCCAAGCACGTTCGCAGACGAGCGCCAGGCCCGGAGAGAAAGTGAAGGGGGTGGGGCGCGGTCTGAGGAGGGAGGTGAGTGGGGCCGCGGGGCAGCCCGGGGCGGGGCTGGTCTGGGAGTGAAGCCCTGGGAAAGGTCGGGTCGCCTGGGTGACTGGCTCAGGACCAGGCCAGCCCAAGAGAGGGAAGAGGGGCTCCCGGGGCCCGCGGGCAGCGGCCGGGGGGGTGGGGGGGAGGCAGGAGGAAAACACGCGGAGTCAGGCCGCGGAAGCCCAAGCCCTGGGGAGAGCCTCTGCCAGAGGGGCGCGAGGGGGCGGAGCGTGAGGTGGGGCGGGCGGCGGGCGAGGAGCCGCGCAGACAGGGAGGCCGCCGGGGGCCGCAGGCCTGAAGGCCCGACAGGGCACGCTCAGGCCCGGGGGCCGCTCCGGAGGACCGGGCCGTCGAGCGCCAGCCACGCTCGCCGCAGCGGCGGGACGGACGAGGGTCCGGCGGTCGCAGGAGCGGCCTGCGGGGCAGCCGTGAGCGGCCCAAGGGGCGGGGCGGGGCAGACCTGCTGTCCGTCAAAGCCCGCCAGCCAATCCGCAGGCTGCTCCGCCCGCGCCCCTCCCCGGAGAGGGTGCGCGGAGGGCCCGCCTCCGCCGCCGCCGCCGCCGCCGCTGCCGCCGCCGCCGCCGCCGCCGCGGGTGTGAGGCGGCCCGGCCTGGCCTGGCGGGCTCCCTCCGCCGGGCAGCCGCCCAGGTAACCGGGCTCGGCCGGCGGGCCGGGGCGCTCTGCACCCTCCCCTTTCCTCCGGGCCGCCGCGCGGGGAGCGGGGCTGAGGAGCGGCTGCGGCTGGGCCTGTGCGGGACAGCGGGCTGGCGGCCGCCCGTGCGTGTGCGACTGACTGACGGGCCGGCGCGGGGCTGCCGCCGCGTGACGGGGCCGGCCGGGGCGGCGTGAGGAGGGGCGGCGGACGGAGCGACGGGCCGCGGGGCCGCGAGCGCCGGGCGCGCCCCCGCCGCCATTGCGCCCCGCGTCCCTGCCTGGGCCTGTCCGGGGGTCGCGGGGCGCAGGCGCGGCGGGAGGCGGGCGGGGGTCCTTCCCACGGGCGCGCGGGCGCCTTTGTTCCCGGCGCGCGGGCCGGGGCGGGGCCTGAGGAGCCGCCCCGCCCCCCGCCTCAGGCCCCGCCCCGTCTCCGCCCGCAGGAGCAGCCGCCGGGCCCGCTCGCGGGCCGCCTCAGCCGCCTCAGCCGCCTCAGCCGCCGCCGCCGCTGCCGCCGCCGCCGCCTGCTCCCGCCGGCCGGGCCTCCGCCCCCAGCGCCGGAGCCATGGCGGGCGCCGCTTCCCCGTGCGCCAACGGCTGCGGGCCCGGCGCGCCCTCGGACGCCGAGGTGCTGCACCTCTGCCGCAGCCTCGAGGTGGGCACCGTCATGACTTTGTTCTACTCCAAGAAGTCGCAGCGGCCGGAGCGGAAGACCTTCCAGGTCAAGCTGGAGACGCGGCAGATCACGTGGAGCCGTGGCGCCGACAAGATCGAGGGGGCCAGTAAGTGCGCCCGCTCCCTGGGGCCCGCGCGAGTCCGCGCTCCGCTCCCGCGCGCCCCGGCCGCCTCTGGAGTGACTTGGGTGAACTTTGGGGCCCTCCCCCGCAGCCTCCGGGCCCCGCCCCCGCCTCGGCCTCGGCCCCTGTGGTCCCCGCGGGCGGGGGGCATCCGGGTCCTCGGTCACCTGACAGGACGCCCCCTCCCCCAGCCCGGGGAGGGGTGCTCCAGGCGCTGTGCCCGGAGGCCTAAAAGTCCTAGCGGGCTGGGGGCCGGCGGGGCAGGCGTCGGGGGTGCCCCCCACCCCGGCGGTGCTGGTGACTGGGCGAGGGAAGCCCAGGCGGCGGCAGCCCACCCGGCCCCAGAGTCGGGCGCCAGGCCGGACGGTCATCGCCCACCACCTTTTTTCCCCAGAAGAGTAGTCGTGGTGAAACTTTCTGGGCCCCCCGGGCTGGGCTCCATTTGCAAAGGAACCTTTGGGTTCCCTGAGTAGAACTTAGGCAGATGTTGGGGTAGGGCTGGCTTTGGGTCAGAGCCGGGCCTACCCCCCCCCCCTCTCTCTCTCTCTCTCTCTCTCTCTCTCTCTCTCTCTCTCTCTCTCTCTCTCTCTCTCTCGGAGAGGGTGCAAGGTGGTCTTGTTTGGTTTGGAAAAGCCTGAGGGAAGGCAGCGGCTGCTTTTTCCCCGCTGCTGCTTTTGTCTCGAAGCTGAATTTCAGAGGTCTGCGTGGGTGGGCCGACACTCAAAGCCAGGACCGAGACTCTTGGTAAAGAGGCCAGGCTTCTCTTACCCTTGGAAGCACATCCTCAGGAGCGTGGCCCAGAAAGGCCACCCTCCGTGCCTTAGAGTCAGGTACTTTCGAGAGTGTGCAGCCAATTTTGGGTCTAGCCCTTGGTGTCCTGAGTCCTGTGCTGCGTGGCCTCGGGGAGCTGGGAGCAGCTACCTTTGGTTTCCTGCTGCTTGGCCTTCTCAGGCCTGAACTTGGCTGCTTTGGGACAGGTCTCAGGAGGAGGGAATTGGGGGTTTTGAAAAAGCCCAGATCTTTTCAGTGTTACTACACTTAATACATGCCTGTGTTGTGGCCGGGTGGGCACCCAGCTCTGCCCGCCATTCCCCCACCTTCAAGTGTGAGAGGTAGCGTGTCTGCAACCCTAGGTTGTGGGTTGCTTCCTGCAAGGACTCCCCACAGAGACTCAGAACTAGGTCCATGTGGAGGAGGGGCGTCAGGAAGTGACACCCCCATAGGAAGGTCCTACAGACCTTGGGTATCGGGTACATGTGTGTAGATGGGTGAGGAGATTGGGAGGAAGGAAAGTCTTGTGGTGAAGCAGCCACCCTCAACTACAAACTCCAGATCTGATACAGCTGCTGAACTCAGAAATGGCAGCTGCCTTCCGCGGTGCCTCCATCAGCCCTGCCAGCTATGGAGAGAAGATTTTAGTGATACGAGAGACTGGATTCCAAAATTGTGGAATGATAGACACTGCAGAGAGCCAGATAGATAGTCCTGGGGACATCACCCAGGCATCAAGACTTCCAGGCACAGCCTCTTCCTTGCTTTTATAGTGTTCCCTATGCTCTGCTCAGTTGGTGGCACTGACCAGAGGTTCCCCAGTAGAGATTTCCTGGGTAACAGACTGCACTTCAAACCATGCATGTGATCAGCAGGCAGTACGTGCAGCTCTGTGGTTGAAGACAAGGCTGGATTTTAAGCCCATTGATTAGTTGTGGGCCACTTGCTTATCTAGCTAGTTACTTATTTTCTCTGAGCTTAGTTTCCTTATCTATAGAGTGGGAATGGTAAAATATAAGCTATATATGGTTGCTCTGGAGATTAAATGAGAATTGGTGTAAAACATGTAGCACAGTGCTCGATACATTGTAAATGTTTAATAAGTGTGAGGTGTTTTTAATAATAACAATAAAAGTAAAAGAGTGTGACTGCCCTCCTCCATCCTGGACTATGAATGTTGAGGGAGGTGGACTATGGCTGTAGGAGAGCATGAGGGTATAGGGAGGGAGGAGGATGGGAACCAAGTTCACATTTCACTTAAAGGGAAGAAATGGTTTTGTTTTGCTTCAACTCCTCTCCTCACCCACCCACCTATCATACATAGAATAGTACATGACCGTAAAATCATGGAGTAAACCTAGAGAGATTTGCACATCTGACTCTCGGGTGTGACTTGACTTATTTGTAAGTTGGGGCCTGAACAGAGGGATGTGGGGAAGAGTGAGTCTAGTCCATGGTGTCTCAGGTCTTTGGGGGTTGGCAACAGGAATGCAGGGGATCTGATGGCCCCCAGCTCCCAGGGTAGGTCAGCTAGAGAAGTACAGATTCAGTGATCTCATCAGCTGCAAGTGTAGGCAAAGAATATAGGAGCCTTGGCCCTTTGATTTTGGAGGCCCAGATTGAAGGAGTCTGAGTAAAAATGCTAGTAGATGCTTGTGTAGGGTTCACACGTTGTAAATGGAGCTTCTCACTGAAGCTCCCCCACTTCTGCTCATTCGTGGTATACTTTGTTGGTGACTTCTGATCCTTGCAGCCCCCCCACCCTACCCCCCACAGGCTCTGAGGAAGGTTGGACTGCCAGCTGTGTCCCCTACCATCTGGCCTTTTCCTGCTGACTCTGCCAGGGTTCCATGTAGTGCTTGTAGTCTGGCCAAGGAGAGAGAGGCACTGTGGACCTGCAGGAGGGATGCTGTGGTTCAAGGAAATGCGCAGCACTCAACGTGTCAGACCTCATTCTGACTTAACCCCATCCCTTCTCACTTTATCGCTTGTGAAGTGGGGCTGGCACTTGCTGATTTCTAGGATGGTAGTTTGGCTTAAAAGAGGGGTGGGGAAGTGCTTTGGTACCAGTTGTCCTGGTGATGTGACAGGAACCAGGTTGATGTTTGGCTTTTTATGTTGCAGATACTGACTTAAGTGAATACAAAGCAATTACTTCCTGTTCACTGCTACAGAGACTTTTCGGCATATTTTCTTGGCTAATCTTCACAAGGGTCCTGGAGGTAGGGGGCTGTGTCTGCCATGGGATCGTAGTACCAGTATGTGACAGCCTCAGCTGGACCCAGCTCCCCAGTCATTGACTGGCCATCCCAAGAGGACTCTCAGCTCCAGGGTTGTGCTGCCCCTGGGCCTCAGGCCACATGCCTAGTTGTCTCTGTTGCTCCTCTAAGGAGAAATTTTTGTGCCTGGACCTGCATTATAGACCCTTAGCTTCTCTAGGTTCTGGCTCTACACTTTTCCTTCTGATGCCTTTCTGGGGTGAGTAGATTCAGTCAAAAGTCATGTGGGCATCATGGCCTGGGTGGAGGCTCCATGGAGGGCTCTGTGACAGCCACGCTCATCACTGAGGACTTTTGGAGGCTCACGCTTTCTTTCCTCTTTGATCCTTTCCTACTCTTCTAGATGCTGGGCCCCCTTAGGTGGTGAATGAAAACCAGGTTCTTCCCCTCAGGGAAACTAAAACAGACAATAATTCCTAGTCGTACCTTTGATGGGGTGGGGAGTTCCTGGTGGCAGAAGAGCGCAAACTGCCCAGACAAGGCAGTCAGGCTCAGAAGGTGATGTTGGGGCCAGTTGTCTGGGGCTTGACCTCTGTGGCTGTCAGGCTGGTGAGGAGACAGACTGTGAAGCCTGCTCTGCCGCCTGGGCCTGAGGTCCCTGAGGCAGGCAGGCGGGTGTTGCAGGGGTTTTCTTTGTACTGGCTGATTGCTCCCAGTGGGAAAGGGGCAAAAACACGTGTCCGGATCTGCAAAGCTAGCCATCCCTGCCTGTGTGCTTCCTGTCTGACTGTAGTTTTTCCAGGGGAAGTCAGACCTCCTAGTGTTTCCTCAACACCCAAGCCTTGCTCCAGTGTGTGGGTTTCCAGACCGGCTCTGCCAGCGCTCCCCCCCCTCCAGCTGGGGCACTCTCTTTCCTGTGAACCTGCGAAAGGAGCCTGTTGCACAGATGACTGGAGAGCTGAGCACACCCAGTGTTGCCCCCCACCACACACACACCTCCAGCTGAGGAGAGTCCCAGAGAAGTGGGGGTGCATTGGAGGAGGGGAATGTTCTTGCATACCTTGTGGAGTGCTTTGTTCAGGGGGCGGGGTGAGGTGGTGTCCTTGAGAACAGTATAGTAACAGGTGACCAGACTCTAGGCAGAGCCAAGGATAAAGAATGGCTGTTAAAAAAAAAAAGAATGGCTGTGAGCAGTGTTGGTAATTGACCCAGAGTAACTGGAGATTTGTGCCTAGAGTAGTCAGTCTGACTTGGGTTCAAGACAGTGTGTGTGTGTGTGTGTGTGTCTGTGTACGTGTGTATACTGGCCAGAGATCTTGGCCACTAACCTTGTTTTGTGTAGTCTCTTGAAATGAGGGGCATTTTTTGTTCCATAAATACTGTTTGAACACCCCTGTTTGCCCAGTGCTAGGCACTAAAGGTGAATAAGACATGGACTGTGCCCTTGAGGAACTCCCACATTCTTGGAAGAGACAGAATTGGGAACATATAATTATAACCATGTGTGTGGTATGTACCATAATAAAGGTCTATACCAAGAGCCCTGTGAGTGCATAGTAGTGAGCTGTCTTAGTGAGCTGTGGTTGAGAGGAGAGAGCCAGGTCAGGCTTCAGAGCTGCTGGTGGGCACGGGGGGAATTGGAGGGTGACTTGTGAGCTGTTCCTTGACTGATTGAGGAACTTGCCTGTGCCCAGGTTGAACATGGGGGATCCCTGTGCAGGATCAGGTATGTATTTAGTGCGGTAGAGGTAAGGCTGGGGCTCGTTGGGAGCAGTTTAGGGAGGGCCACAGGGTGCCATGCTCTTGGGTTATACTCTATTCTATCAGCAGAGGCTCAAGGAGGGCTGTCTTGCGTTTTATCTGGGAGAGGGTGAGGGAAACCAGTAAAGCCACTGCAGTTTGCAGGAGAGAGCTGATGAGCAGGGGCAAGACTTCCTCTCGAGGCAGGGCAGGGATGCAGCAGAGGTGGAGGGTGGGTCCTGAGAGATGAGCCAG